ACCAGATAAGTGAGATTAACTAAATGGCCAGTGTATGAAGCAGTCATTACTCTATCACATATACTATTTTCGGTGTTGATGAGAGAGGGAAGTAAATAAAATTATTTATGATCACTTCAATGTTAGGTATTATTCATCAGATTATCGATGCTCTACTACTTATAAATACGAAATTATTTTAACGACTAAATTTACTATGAACATGGTGTTGTAGGTACACATTATTTCAGTTGAAGTTTCTCATACTGATATTTGTACGTGTAGTGAGAAGGACAGGTACAAACATAGCCTATATATCCTACATACTGGACAGGTATAACAAGGTAACCATACTAATACAATATGGGAACAGGATATCAGCCTAATGGTCAGATATTAATTTCGTTGGTTTATCAAATGACCTACAGAAAATCAAATTCTAATTGCATGTGTTCTAATTGGCTCTTATGCACGTGAATTTTCGTGTCTAGTATTTTGTACGGAAGCTAGCATTTTCTCATGATGAGGGATACGTTTTGTTGACAGTACCTCTATTAACTTTAGGCAATATACATCATAGCATTACAGCTCAGACGTCTAAAGTTTAAATATTCGTGCTTGGGACCGAATATCTTGGGTTCCATTCCCCTTAGGTGAAGTCTTGAATGAACACAAGTAAGAAACTGCTGTCAAAATGCTTCCAGGTTTTCAATGGGGACTTAAATAAGATCAGTTCACAATTTAATCGATGAAAATTGACAAAATCTGAATTAGTAAATAGAATACTAACATGTTTAAGCACGTCATTATCATATCTGGCAATGATGGACTATATACTGTGTATTTCATGATTATTATTAATATAGATGGGTGTAAATAAATATGAGACACAACGTTATTCAACTGTACTTTTACCATTTAGAATTTAGTGATACTATAATTTATGGACGACATTTGCGTGAGGCTAGAGTGACCTTGACAGTGTCCAAATGACAAGGACTAGATGAATTTCAACGGTTAAGATCATGAATCAATTGAAGCTAGACCACCATGGAAAACCTGGAAGCATTGGATGGCCGTTTCCTCCTACTGTGAGACTCCTCAGCAGTGCGCATCCACGGTCCCGCCCCGCGGGATTCGAACCCAGGACCTATCAGTCTCGCGCTAGGCGCTTAACCAACTAGACCACTGAGCTGGCCGGTATCCAGTGTTGATGTCTATTTTCAAACAATCCACGAAATTGCGCCACCGTACACCATTCTCTTCAGTGAGTTACTATCACAACAGACCCGGTTGAACTTCACTACAATCTGCACAAAACCCTTTTTGATACTAATCAACATATGCTCACTAGTGACTGGCTTCAAGAAGTATATCCTGGAGTTCTAGTGAGAAGCAGTGACCAGTGGAGTTCAAGTAGGTCTGTTGTGAGATAGTAATTAACTGAACACAATGGTGGATGTGTGGCTGAATTTCGTGGATTAGTTTAAGTTAGTCACGCGCGAGACTGATAGGTCCTGTGTTCGAATCTCGCGGGGTGAGGGATCGTGGATGCACATTGCTGAGGAGTCCCACAGTAGGACGAAACGGCCGTCTAATGCTCCCAGGTTTTCCATGGTGGTCTAGATTCAATTGACTCGTGATCTCAACTGTTGAAATTACTACAATCTTCACAAAACCCCTTCTGAGACTAAATGAATATTATAAAGCAGTGTGAGCAATTGGAATTATGATTTACAATTGATTATTAGGGTTAGGAATTGGATTTAGGTTTTTCATCGAGAACTGACACCAGCTAAAATGCCAAAACTTTATTTAGCCAATTGAATAAGTGAATTTCGTGCCAAAATACAAGACCTGTTATCTTAAATTTGATTGGTTTTTCTATAAACTATTGTTTCACCTAAGAATTTTATTCACGTGTGAAAGTTGTTTATCTTCCAGGGTAACAAATCAAATAGCGAAATGTCATCAATTTATTTTCTCTGTCATTTAGAACATAAATAAATCACTTCTCATGTATACTATCTATTCAACATCAGAAATGATTAACTCAAATTTTAGCAGTGATATTTACTTATATATAAATTGGATTAAACTAAACTATACTAATAAGATTAAGTTACTCTTGAATGATCTTGAGATATTTAAGTCCATCAAGAAAAATAATCTCTTTCGTTTTCTTACGTCGAATCATGAGAATTTGGACTGCTTTCAATTTCAAGTATTTAGTAGTGGAACTATACGGACATAATAAAGGAAGAAAGTTAATAGTAGAGTAGTCCTTCCTGGTGAATTTCGTTGGTTTTCACATTATAAGTGTTCAATTCTATTATCCTTATCAACCTTCATTAAGCACTTTACAGTTACGTCACAGGATAATATTCAGATTGGATGCGACCTTGGAATATAGATCTCGACTCTTATTGGTTCCTCAATAATAATTTACTTCAAACCACAAATTTCCGTAAGTCTATGTAGGTTTCCAGTGAGCTATAATTCCAGTAAGGTATATGAAACCTAGTCTTACTTCAGTTACCTTTTTAAATAAGATAATCTCATTACTTATAACTGTGACTCCTTGTTTAAGAAGGATTGAAACGAAGTCAATGTTCACTTGTAAATAGGCATGTAAATTTTTGTCAGTACTGATAAATGAAATCAATCAGAGGTGATAAGTGCTTAATCTGATTTTGAACTCTTAAGCAATGGTCATTCACTGAACCCATATGTAAGATCACATTTATGGATAAAAAGATTTTATGAGGGTAAGGTAATACAATTGGAATGAGTTCTAATCGAGTATCTTCTGTTAATTGGTCGCAAAATATAAAGAAAGATAATAGATGACGATCTTCAATTACCCCTGACTCAGTGGTTATGTAACACTATTATCCTTATGACAAATCAAAGATCATTGTGAGTTTGATGTGTCTGATTCTCTATAGTCTTGAAATGACTTTTCAGTTGATTTTAATCCATAATTAATTTAAAACCTCGAACCTTATTAATTGATCTATGAATAAACTTTGTTGCTTGCCTGGTAGACACAACATGCATTCGAACCTCGTAAAGTATGAAACAGATGGCTTAGATTAATAAAGTGAGTGATGAATTCCTTGTTAGAATCACTCTGTGATTCTATACATATTAAAGATGTAAAATAGGTTATAGCGTTTGTTTATTTTTCATTGTCGAGACAAAATATAACTAGAGGAATTTCTTGTTAGATTTATCCTAAACTCATGAATGCTAAATTGTTTAGCCAACTGAAATTCCCTTAATTCCTCTTATCGCCTAAATAAACAATGTATAGGATCGAAAGTTATTTTCATTTCTGGACATAATATGTAAATTGACAACAATGTTATCGTTCTTAATGCGACAGTTTAAAGTCACCATAGTTATTCGTATGAAAACACGTCAGAATCTTCTTAACAAGTAATAGAATCAGTTCAAATGAATTTGTGGATGACTGATGAAGTTCAAACAAGTCACGAGTGAAGCAGTCATCAACACTAGGATTGAATATCAGTCGCACTCTATCATAAACTGAATGAGTTGGAATTGTACTGTTAGAGGCCGAACAAGTGGTTCTAACAGTTAAACATTTGCTGAGAGACCTGATGGTCCTGAGTCCAATTCCTAGCAGAGTCAAGAGTGCACAGTACTGGTTTTATACTAGGACGTAAGATATGTTTAGTGTCACCTGGTCTCAATGGTGCCCGAACTAAGATTAATATGTGACAACTACAACACCGGTCGGTAGAATTACTGTTGATGTTGACAAAGGAAGCAACTGCACAGTAGAAGGATGCTGGAGATGTTATTCATTCGTCATTTTAGTCGTAAAATAATTATTTTAATATTCGATACGAAATAAAACTATGCACCATTCCCTTTTAAACAATATTATACGTGAAAATTTATCAGAAATCAATTTTTCTTCACACAATTTCATTTGACATTAAAATCTATAATGTCATTTACATTCTGGTGAATTACAAAGACAATAGCGAAAAACTCAACACACACGAAAACCTATATTACTCTAGTAGACGGTATACGGAAGTTTCATCATAATTTATCATGGTACATTCCCAAAGGATTATCGTACATGTAACTTACACAAATAAATAAAACATAGAATTCGGACTTTTTTCTTACTAAAATTTTTCATGCATACAAGCCAATTCACACCAAACAACCTTGTTACCGCATATGAAATAACTTGATGCACATGTTCACAGTATCCTAAATTTTGAGTGATCAGGGTGAAAATCTATTTATTTCTAGTCGTGTAAATTATATCTTTCTATCATGTTAAGACCCCTGTAAAATTGAATGTGTGATTTTTTATAACATCAAAGGGTATTAGTAGTTAGGAAACTGAATTCATAAGGATTTACCTAGTTTTATCATTATGCCAATAAAACTGGTAACTGGCAACCTGTCTATTTGCTGATATATATATATATATATATATATATATATATATATATATATTCTTAGATAACCTAAGTAAACTCAGAAACTTGTCAACTGATCACCAGAAACAAAGTAAAGTGTAGAATATTTGTCTGATGTTGTAAGGTCTCTTTTGTATCACTAACACTTCTGTCACACTAACTTTAGGTGTGAAGAGATAGAATATTTGAACACTTACTAACTCTGAAGTGGTTAATTCCTCATATCTTTGACATATCAAGAAGCTATCTTGGGGTTGGAATCTAGAACAGAGACAAGAATATAGAAGACGCAATATGCTATCGGGGTTAGGGATAATAAAAGCATAAAATAACAGACGTACGCAACTTCATTAACATTTTAACAGTTGACCTTTGGCTAAAACATACATACCTTTTATTAATTCAAATAAATGGAATTTTAGTCAACTAATCAACCTACATTATCTTCTTAATTTTCTTCATCAACTATATCTACGGAGTACAGAAAAATAAGACGATTTACCACTGAACAAGTGATAACCACAACCACAACAACGAAAAACACCGGAAATTGCACTGATTAGATTATTGAATAAGAATATACAATTTTTTTAATAAAAAAGAAAGAAAAATATACAAACCTCTGTTGTTATACAATAATAAAACGATGAAAAATGGTTGAAGGAAGAGGAAAAATATAATTAACAATAGAGTTTTTCTTTCTAAAGAAAAACAGCAACAACACCAACATCAACAACAACAACAGGAAGCGATTAACATACTTTCTTTATAAACCGAAAAAAATGTATGTTATCCTCACTATTGCAAATATAAAACAGTTCAGATTAATACAATTTTCGTATTTGAAAAAAGAGAATGAGAAGAACATGATACAAAAATTCATTAATCCGTAAATAGAAATAAGATAAAAATGGTCTTTTGTGATGTGATAGAAGGATACTACTACTAATACCAATAATAATAATAATGATTATAGTAAGAAATATGAAAGATTTGTTAATATTTTGTCATTTTTATCTGATTTATAAAGCGAACAGACACAACAGTGAATTTTAGTTGGTCTCTTCTAGAGATTAAGGAATGAAAAGTGTACCAAACCCTTCCCCATCATGAAGATAATTTACTGTTGAAAATTACAGTGAAGGACTAGATATAATAAATGCGTTTAATACAAGTTCACCATAATATATACTTATGTATATAAATATGTAATAGTAATAATAATAATAATAATAATAATACATGCATACATGCAGATGTAAACACATAATAAATAATTGTTTACCGGATAATAGTAATAATAAAAAAGAAAGGTTACACAGGTATGAGAATATATATATAAAGGAAATCTAATAATCTATGTCACAAGCATATACAATACACATATAATGGACAGAAAAAGCACAAATATTTCGAGGATTACATAATGTAATTGAGATTTATCTTGATTTATTGCTCTTCAGTTTTATTATTATTACTGTTATTGTTGGAGCTCTGTGAGGAAAAAACAACAAGCAAAAACGTTGTACAAATGATGTGAATTATATCAGTAAAAGATCAATAGTCTAGACATTCGATACTGACCTATAGGAGTTTTAACGTAACTCCCAATATTTGTAAAGATGTGAAGTAAATTCGACAGCCTGATGGTAAGAACACTCAAATACTGCGGCGGGAGGTGAAGTACTGGTCTCCAACCTTATCTACTTTGGTTTAGACGGTTATGTAGTACCGAAAACACATACAAATGGCGGATCTCAAATTTAGATGCTTAAGTATGTACATGGTAAATAAGTGAAATGATATGTCCAGAAAGTAAGATAGCTAGGCAATACAGATAGTCACCATTATTAATAGTGACAAACTATGATTCTATGAATATGACGTCAAGCTGAAAGCACACAGCATGAAAAAGGAAACAAAAGATTAACCAGGATCAAAAACGTGTTCGTAATTAATGACTGCCTTAGGTTGAGCTTAACATAATCGCAAGATACAATACAACACTGTCAATAAACCTTAATCTGAACTGGACACTGTGACTGTTCGTACACTGACTTTAGAAACCTACAGAGTAACTATATTAAGAAACACTATGACTAGTATATTTCACTGTATTTGATTAGAATACTGTTTTTAAATACTAATGAATAGTGACACAGTTTAATTACTGTCACACCAAAATGTAAATACATATTTCTCAGTAATTTTGCAAATTGATTTTCAGCTATCAGGCAACATATACATAAATACCGAACTGTTGCGATTAGGCAATATTTTTAACTCTTTGCAGTACTAGCGCAACTTATTTACTAGATATGGGTTTATTCTCTTGATCAGCTGCTACTAGACAGTTCAAACCGATTAAGTTGAACCGCGAATTGAACGCGCGACATTCAGATTGACAGCCGACAAGTGCCTACACTTTCAACTATGTACGTCTAATTTCAGTATATCAGTCATTCAGCTTAGAAAGAAACCTAAACTTCGATGCAAAGTGATAAGAATACATCTATGACAGAGTTTACCCGGACAGCCAGGGTTTACAGATTTATTTAAAAACTAAAGTTGGAAGATAGCAGTCTACTCAAACACGAATAAAGGGAAAAAGCCTCAGTGTGTCATACATGGCCATGTGCATGCAACCACTGTCAGGGAAGTCCTACTCACTGCCTTCTCGTGTCGGGAGTGTTGTTTACGAAATTGGAAGGACGAAAAGCGACTATCCGGCGCTTTAACAGGGTTAGTGGATGTGGAAGATCCACCTAGGACAGTTGGAAACCCTGATTCCAAACCAATGGTGCACATGAGCTCCAGTATCCTGTAGGAACAAATGGCGTATGAATCTATTGTTGGTCACCCGCTACCATGGGACTGCATCTCCTTACGAAGCTCCACTGTCTTGTGGATTAGACCTTTAGGTCTAAGGCTCCGGGTGTGGCCCTCTGAGAAAACCACCTGCTTCTGTTTGGGCACCCGGACAGTACCCCAGCCCTCACACAAATCGAATGTTTTATGTGGCGCATATCTATTTGGTGCCTCCTTATACCGATGTTTATGTGTTTAAATAAATAAATAAAACTTGTGTATTATGCAAATTAAGCACCATTAACACATAATTAGCGCGAAAACAATACAAATCTTACCTGTACAGATCTTGGAGTTTTAGGAGGTAACGTCACTGAATGTGCTGATGATAAAGGATAAGCACGTGAGTTTTTGGACGACAGTAATCTGCGTTTGCGTAAATGAGAATTTCTTGTCTGTGACGGCGGACATTTTGGTGGTTTTACTGTTGGTTGATTGGATTGAGTGCTAAGCTTAGATGTATTAGGTGTATGGCGATTAATAGGCTCCAATGGCTGAAGGCAATTTGGTTTGTCCCACGGTTGAACACGATGCACAGTGGCTTTATGGGGTCGGAAATGAACTGATGAGTATGCAGCGAGACGGGATTCTAAACGAAGACCTAGTTGGACATCTAAAATAAATTATGGTGTAAGCATTAGTCGTCATTATATAGTAATCTCGATTGTGTAAATCATGATGTCATTCATAATTTCATGAAAATTCGCACATGTCGTATGAATTAGCTATACTGTTGTTAGCGGGACATAGATTGGATTAAATCATGCTCAATGAACGCTTGTGTTGGCGCACGTTGATTGGATAAGAATTAGCCAATCAGCGCTAGTCGATACTTGGAGAATACCCTAGAAATCTTTTCATGTAAAAACTATAAATATACTAACGATTTCCCTATTGTGCTTCTTACTTTCATCTAACCTTGTTATTTGGAATATAATCTCTTTCCTGTTCAATCGTGTTCTAATTTGGGGACTTGTCGAGTGAATTGGTGTCCGAGAATACTAAGCAATGGGAATAGCTGGGTTATAACCGTAAGAGAGAATTATAACAAATGTCAATACATAATCAATGAAATTTTAATTAGTAACAATACCCACTCAAACCTAGTGACTAGAATTCTCAACTATGATTTGTTAACAGTTAGATCTAAATAATCGGAGTATACGAAATAATGATAAAAAACGCACTAATATTATCTTAAAGTGTTGCGAACGTTGGTGTTATGATGCGAATGCTTTGTGAGAAGCATGAGAAGCGAGCAGACAGGTTTTTATAATATTTTTGCCAACAACTAGCACAGAATACTCATATATAGAGAAATCTGAACTATCAGAGTGATTTCAGTGCTGTATTGATAGATAAAGATCTCAAATGAAGGTTGGATATATCAATACATATGACTATTACAACCCTAATTATGTCTCGCAGAAATACAGTCTAGCTATCGATTGATAGCACTTTTTTTCAATTATTGAAATGTTTGTTGGTAGGTGCAGATTCCTTGATTGAAGTACATGTAATCATTATGATCATTGGATGATATCGGGTAACATGGTTCATAATTAATCCCAATAGTAATGTCTTCTTGATGTCAAGTAAAAGAATTCAGTGGTTTCTTAGTGAGTGTAGACAGACATACCCTTATAGTTCACATGAATAACAGACATATTTATATTGCGAACCGCATCTGTTTCTCATACTCAATACTTGTATCAACAAACGTCTTATTACTGATACCTAGTTCTTGACTAAACGGTCGAACTTTGAGTGACTGTGTTCATGTGGTTTAGTCAACATTCATATAAAAAACTTTCCTTAAATCAGATTCACATCCCACATTTCATTTCACGAATTAATTCTTTCTTTTCGAATCCTACTCTCTATAAGTAATCTTTTTTTTTACTACCACTGATACTACTACGACTACTTCTACACTGGTATTCATTCTGATGGCATTAAATCACTGTATTAATACGGTGTAGCAACTTGAGCTGATGCTTACATACACCAGGTTTTACGTTGTATATGACTTGTTGACTAGATTGCTGCCACAGACAACGAATATCCCATAAAAAGCCTAAAACATATGGTAAATAAATAGTTTGCTAGTATGTAAGCTACAAATTACTCAGAGGAATTTTTTCTACTACAAACAGGATCATCATGAACATTTTCGAATGAAGTGGAATATTTTCATTCACACAATTAAGCAAATAAAAGTGTGCAACCACAAATGTAATAGAAAAAGCATCACAAAAATAATGATTTTATGCGATCATACCCCAATTATAGCAAGTGTTGTTATGGATAATGAAAAGGATAGATAGTAATTACTGAATTTTTTAAGCACACCATATTATAGTGACCTTAGTTACTGCTATATAACATTTTTCGACAATCACAGGGAATGCATGGAAGATTATCATAAACTATTAATTCAATAAAAGTTATACTTTATTCAAAAGTGTTATGTCACAAACTGAGTAACATTACCTTTCCATGTCATCCCCTATTCCAAAATTTATCAAACTGCAGGGAATATGAAAAAAATGTTCTTTTATGGAGCTTATATATGTAAACACATACCTTCCATTTTTTTGATTTGCAGGAATAAAAATATATACTCCACTTTTAGAATGTATTTATGTCATGCAGTGGGATTTGATTATGAGAATCTAAATACTTGCAGTACCAGCAGTCTAAATCCTACAGAGTTACTTTTTACATAATACCTAGGGTTTACTCAAAAATAGGAAAACTGATTATGGTTAGCAGTATAATACCGACTATTTGGTCGGATACAAACATCTAAAAGAGAGGAGTTAGTGAGAATTGATATCCAAAATATCCATTTACACCAATGAATTTATCATTAGTCGATAGACGGAAAAGAAAATGAATATTTCCGAAACTTAGTATGGATAAAAAAGTGACTAAACAACTTTTATTTACATTCACAGGGATACGACTAGTTTGAAAATAGGAAAAAAACATGAAATCTGACATAAACCATAAAAAATAAAACCAACCTCCTGGAATTGACAATTTAGGATGAATATGACTACATAACGAGTGGGCTGACATAAGTAAATCACGTTCATCTGATTTATTTGCCAACTCCGTGTGACTAGTACTTGGTTCAGATCCACAGCATAAGATGCATGGTCCAATAAATGGGGGAATGCAAGAGCATTTAATGTGAGGATCACTAAGTGAATGTTTGCCTAAAAAGAGTAGTCGAGAGTACAAGCAACTTACGTAGTTCCTGTATCACACTAGCGCATTTAGGTGATGAGAGATTGTGATAAGTATGTCGTTTCCGTTTGGTATTTATGTATGGAGATGTACGAGAACAGCTAACTTCTGCATCATTTTCAATGTTATTACTATTACTTTGATACTGAGATAACTTTTCCTGATCAGAGTTATTTTTTAACATATAAAGATTTTGCAAACATTTTTCAGCATGTTTTATTTCTGTACATAACCAATGCCAGTTTGAATGCGTTACGGAACGAGTGTATAACCAAGACTGTTTAGAGCTAAACAAACGGGTTTATTGTGTGAGTTAATAAACGAACCTGGACAAAGCCTTCTTCATTTCAGCTTCGTCGTCGGTACTACTTTCTGTATCTTCATACGTCAAGTTTGGTGATATAATGCTAGGCAAAGAATCGCTGGAGAGTAATTCATCTTGTGATACAGAAGAGTTGCAGGCGAGCAACCGTGTTAATAAACTGAGGGCTCTAGTGCGATTATGAAATAAACGCTGAGAACAGACAGATAAACGTTGTGTGAGCAAAGAATGATTTTGAAGAGTTCTCTCATAATCAATTAATTTGTCGCAAACAGTTTGATTTTGAAGCTTTGTGGAAATATGATCAGATTGTGAGCTTGGAATTAATGTCTCATTGTCGGTAGCAAGACAACTCTGTGATTTATCACATGAAACCTGTTCAGAAGAAACAGACTGTTCAGCCTCATTTCCCATTGTACTATCGTTTTTAATAGCATCGGAAGTACCGTTTACTTGCACGGGCATTGAAACAAAGGAAGGATCTGTCCGAGGAGCCATTATATTAGTATATTTTCTTTCAGTAGAATCGTTGTTATCAAAACTATTGTGGGGTTGAGTAAGTGAAATAAGATTATCCCCATTTAGAATGACATCTGCATAATACTTCAGAAGCCCATTTGTATTACACGAGGCCATACAACGAACTGTACGTTCGCATGCCTGGAAAACAAATAGTGGATTTATTGATTAATAGAATAAATGAATACACATAGAATAGGTGTGAGTTAGACCGATGTTTAATAACTACATAAAAAGCATGGGTTGGGACATAAAAATACATCCTATGTTAGTATATTTATGAAGGTGATTTTAGTCTCATTTCGCCTAGAGGAACATTTTCACAGAAAAGGTTTGACGGTTCAGCCTATTACATGTTACCTTATATCAAAAGGACAATAAAGTACACAAAATCAGTGGACGATACGATAACGAATAAGACACTTATAAAGTACATTTGAAGGTATCTTCAATAGCTGGAAATCTCATGATCGGTAGACATTTAGGCTTGATTAAATAGCTTTTATCTATTGTATTGGTTGATGATTAAGGAATACACATAAGACGTTAGATGCAACAATTGAGTGAAAATTTACGTATTGATGTCATCTTAATCTTCCCTAAGAGTAATTAGTAGCATTTCCTTTTCGATGATTTGAATAAAACATTTTCCCCGAATGGAATTTACTAAAGTCCATGTACAAAGTTAAATGACAACTTGTTTTGAATAGTACCGGCTTAGTTTGTCACTTAAATTATGATTTATAGACAATAGTAGCCCGAGTGTGGAAGCTTTACCCGCAAACATAGAATTGTGGTTGAGTGGTCAAGACAATCAGCTACCAACCAAGTAAGGACCTTGTTACACTACTATTTGGGTGGCCAGGTGGCATCACCGGCCTAGATAGTGGCAAGGTTCTATAGACAGGTAAACATTACCCTTTCTCGATTTCCTTATCAGGTGTATAAACCAAAATCAATCTGTACTGTACCGTTCCAGAGACAAATAAACACAAGCACTCGTTTGGTTGACACACCGTACAACAATAAAGGACCCAAGGCATTCTGACTTTATTACTAGCTATGTGCCGGAAGTGAATACCGGAAACTAGAAAAAGCTTGTTTATTATTAATAGGCTGATTACCTCTACTCACTCACAATAGAAAAGTGCTAAACAAAACAAAATGATATTATGGAGAAATCGGAGCTGAAAGACATGTAGCAATAATGAATAACAAGTAGATTCGGTCTATGTCGAAAGCACATCTTTATCTTTAAAAAGAAAGAAAATTATAACGTAGCCGCTACTGGTTTCTATTTTAACATCATTAGTTCCATAGTATGACCACCGAAACTCCACAAATATTTTACTAAAGTATCATACAGTTAAGCTTATTCTTGATTAACTTTTAATAGGATATATTTATTAGTGTATTGCTTTAGATACTGGATAAGCTTTCGGTACACCCTGTCAGTCAGTCAGCTACAACGTAGGACCAGGCACATATGTGCATCGGTCCAGGTTGCCATACCTCATTAGCACAACAAGATGAACACCGGATTCATAGGAGTGGTTAGGTCAAAGGTTGCAATAAGGATATAGTATAGGAAGGAAGAATTAGTTCGTAGAAAGAAATACAAGTCTATGTACAGGGTACACCCTGTACATAGACTTGTAAGACCCCTGCGATTCTACACATGTTTGGAAAGTATGGACGGAAAGAGAACATGGCAAAATATATTTCGATCTCGTTTGTCACATCTCAAGTTAATACAGAGAAAGGAGTTCATTAAAATTAGAAGCTAAGGAGTGAGAACAAAAATAGTGATAGTATTGGAAAATAGGAGGATCAGAAATAAATAACAGAGGACTAACATCAACGTAAAACGGGGAACGGATACACAATTGCCTGATTGTTGAACCACGTAACTATCTTCAGATTTTACTGTAACGTCAACTTATTGTCCCAACGAAAATTTTACGAACTTGATCAAACTCTCTAAAGAAACAGCACAACAGACATTTTGTCATGTGTGTATATTTAATTAAGAATATGTCGAAGCTACAGATTTTACTTTCAGTTCCCTGATGTGACTTTGTGCACTCAATATCATAGTAAGTGATTTTGTATGATTGCATGTACTTGTTGGGAGATTTCTTTCATATTATTTTACCAGCGGTTTGGTGGATTAAGTATTCACAGGTTCGAACTGCTTTCCATTTTTACTGCTTAGCCAGGGATATGACTAAGAATCTGGTTCCCGGAGCTGCAACTATACAATTTGTTTGTACATACTACTTGCAACTCTGTCATACCACTAGCTGTAGTGCAGAACGGATGCAGTAGCGTAAAATCTCTTTTAACGCTGAACTGATTATCATAATTGTTGGTTCATTTGCTTGAACACACAAATATTGGTACAAACGGGCACTAAAATAGATATCCGCCACACATATAAGAAAATGAGATTGTGAACAGATATAGGAAGGAGGATGAGTATAATCAAAACTAAATAAGTGGATGAGAGTAGAAAATAAAGGGAAAAACAGCTCCGTTAAGAAAAATACAACCTGAAAGAATGCCTTCATTTAAAGTTCGTTTCCCTCACTTTTCAAAGAAAGTAAAGGAAAAGTACAGCAGGATTGTCATTGGCTTTTACTTTAAGCCATCTCTGGTAAGGTCTAATGTTTAAGAGGGCCACACACGGAGCCTTAGATCTAAAGGTCTAATCCACAAGACAGTGGAGCTTCGTAAGGAGATGCAGTCCCATGGTAGCGGGTGACCAACAATAGGTTCATACACCATTTGTTCCTACAGGATACTGGAGCTCATGTGCACCATTGGTTTGGAATCAGGGTTTCCAACTGTCCTAGGTGGATCCTCCATATCCACTGACCCTGTTAAAGCGCCGGATAGTCACTTTTCGTCCTTCCAATTTCGTAAACAACACTCCCGACACGAGAAGGCAGTGAGTAGGACTTCCCTGACAGTGGTTGCATGCACATGGCCATGTAGGAGCTGACTCTACCAATCCTCGGCTGTACCAGGGATTTAGGGGCAGGTTTCTCGAATATGGAGCAGAACTGCTATTGCCAACGCGTTCTAGACCCCACCTTTTGCTGACAGACTAATGTCACAACGGTCCCGAAAATAGCCCAGATTAGCATAACCTGCCTTGGCTTTCGCTACACATAGATTAATTCCATCACTTACGTCACAACTGACACACAAACAACCATATATACACGAACTTTGAAGACTTTTAACACTCCATCACCCAGAGTGATTTCAGGCACAGGTTTGTGGTAGTCTTGTAAAAGTAATTCGTATCTAAAACGTGAAGAGTACGTACAATACCTACAGACATTGATTGTCAACTGATTTAGTGCAGATTGCATAACCTATCATAACTTAAAACAGCATGAAAAAGTAACGAAGGAACGAGGGATACATTAAAGCGGGCTACAACAAAGTCATAATTAAACAAAGAATTGATACAAGATATGACAGTTTAAAATTTACAGGATACATAATGAATGAACCTGCCTCACTTTAGTCGACTTTAAACTTTACTAAAGCCATTAGATTAAGTGATCACGAATTCATGAGGTGATACTCAACACAGCTTAAACTAATGGTGAATAATTTCGGTGACCGAGTACCAGTTTATCTGCCAAGTGCAGGAAGATACTAAATGTGTGAGGGCAAAATATGATATATATAACTAACTCGTTCGCTCCATACTTTAGTATAAGCCAAGTGTTAAGTGAGGGATGATGGCACTACTCGATGGCTTAAGATGTAGATGAATGGGGGTTTGAGTTTAAGACCTACTGAGTGAAAGTCAATCTCCTTAACCACTAACTCACTACTTGACGACTAACGGTCGGCTCGTCAGTCACAGCGAGAAGTGACCAACCCATCAAAGTTGTAGACGCAGTAGTATGAGTAATAATGAAAAAGATTTAGTATAGAGAATATCATTTGAGAAGTCCCTGGAGTAGAAAGTATAAAATGACTTTGAAACCAAATATCGAAAGGAAGGTAACGAGTGAATGGATCTGCCTCATTGAAACTGGTTCTGAGCTAACATCTACCACTGCTCATAATAGTCGAGCAAACAACAACCAGGTAGACCGCACATAACGACAAGCCTTGAGTCGACAGTCAGCGAATTTGTAGACATGCCGCATTTTGGTTTGATTACTCTTATCATTTAAGAACCAACTAAAACTTTAGTCAACAGCACACGTCGAAGTAGGGGGAGGAAAGGCATATGCAACTACGTCCCAAATACCTGTCAATGATGGTTAATTGATTTGATTTAAACACACTGAATGGAAGCTTGTCAATCTATTTTAGCGTGGTATACTCCCAGAATGTTGCCATTAGCACTTCTCATAGGCGTACTGCTGAGATGACAACTACAAAAACAGTGCGTATGACAATGGAAGTCATTTTTCACTACTTATTAGCCTTAAAGTTACCGGGTTTTGATGGGTTACATCCACGATTATCGCCAACCCCCGAGAACATAATTTCTAAGCCATTCACAGCGTTGTTCAATGTGTCTTTTTCGCGAAATCAACACCCTAGGAACTGGAAGGATACTATCGTTAGCCTGTTTTTAGAAATGGAAAGAGACATCATGTCTAACTATCAAGCTGCCAGTCTAACTAGTATTACGGTGTTTGAAAGAAAAATCCAGACCCATTTACCTATGTAAAATTATTTAGTCTGTTAAAGCCGGAGGAACATGGGTTTCGGGACAGACATTCATGTTTGACTAAGTTACTTATCGCGAGGATTGGACGATAGCCCAAGAAAGTGATTTTTCTGTCCGTGTAATGTTTACAAATTTCACAAAGGGATTTGATGAAGTTTCTCACTTAGGGCTCATGCAGAACTTCCTATGGTCAAAGATAGAAAATGAAGAAGAGTGGGACACCATCTGAATGGAAACCAGTTTAAAAGTGGTGTGGCCCGATGGACCATTTTATGTCCCCTATTATTTCTTCTCTGCGTCAATGAATTACTAAAACTGCTTAAGCCCTCAATATTTTTTGGGAGATCATGTAAGTTTGGAGAATAATAGTGCATGAAGCTTAACACATTTATATCAAAGGTGATTTGGAGTAATCAGTTAGACAGTCGCAAAGTTGGAATTCGAACATTTATTTAAAAAAAGGGTGCTAATGACCACCGGAGAGGGTAATAGTTACTAGTATACCATCATTGGAACACAACTACCGCATGTGTGGAAACAAAAAGACCTAAAATTATTGGTAAGTCGCGACTTGAGAGTAACTGCCTACTGGAATGCAGCAGTTGCTAGTTTCCGAACTGTGGTCACTTTGTCGGACTTCAAAATGCTTCGAAGATGTGCTAGGGACTTTATACTCTATTTGTGAGACCTTATTTAGAATGTTGCATCTAAATAGCTGTTCCATGTCTGATCAAGAATGCTGGCACGCGAGCGTTTTCACCGTACGGGAACAATAAAATCGATAAGCACTGGAAAACGTCGGACAGCATACAACCCGAACAATGTTGGAAAAGGATAAGGGAAACAAGTTCGGAGTTCAAGAGAGTTAAACAATTTCTTTGCGAATTCCCTTTAAGGAAAGACTATAGTTTATGGACGAACCCATCAGATTTACGATAACAGGTCTTAGATAATGCAGCGAAACTCACCCACCTGTTTGGCTAAATAGAGTTTTGGCATAATGGGTGATGTCAGTTCGTGATGAAAACCCTAAATCTAATTCCTAACCTTAACCACCGACTGTAAATTATAACCCATATTCTTCAAACTACTGTATAACGTTCATTCAGCATTAGTAAATAGGTGAACACTTTCAAGGTTAGTCCAGCGTCGCTCAAAAGTCCTCCATAAATCATAGTCTCACCCCCTATAACACACCATTTCCTAGCAATAATCAACAAGCCGTGGCAGCACGGCTTTCGCAATTATGAAAATCCAAATACAGAGTAAGTGGCATAATTGTTGTTCTAAAGAAAGAACATTGAAAATTTTCTGCATTTTGGTTCCTCAAGAAAACTAACCGTATTACAACAGATTTCGAAAGACACGGCATCAATCTACAGGTCGTAATCCAAAAGCCCGCCTACCCAAAATGGGAAGTCAAGGTCAGGAAACGAGACAAAAGTTCCCCGGTCGATCCACAACACCAGAGCCTTTTAAACAAAACTGAAATGTACAATTGTCTTATGGAAACTGTCAGCAGAAAATTTGTATATGCATGTATATGCACTTCGACACGTCACTGACATTTCACTTAATTTTCTGTACACTAATATTCTTATGCTTTATACCAGATTTTTGGGACTAAAAATTATTCATGCTCATTTTTTGGTCGTTTTCGGATTAACTTATATAAATGAGAGAACGAATAAAGAAACCCTTTCACAATCCAAGTTTTTCAAGCTTCCTAGATAATTTTAGGCGCTATTTAAAAAGGACAGTGGTATTCTTTCTCGTTGAGTTAATTAACTGTTTTGATCGTAAATTACGCATCAAAACTACTGTTTACACTTTAATTGCATCTACCCCAGTTAAAGTGATATTTTATTGAGTTTTTCGATTTTGCTTCTGTGTATTTATTGCACCGAAACATACTTGGTCGACTTTTACTTGGTTTATTTAGTTAAGGTTTGAAAATCCTTCTACATATCCTGTTTTCGTCACCGTTCTAGTTGATTTTCAAGATGGCTAGGTCTACTCATAAATGTGGACAACCATACTGTTTATTTGCCGTGGATGAAGGGATGCAATGTGATGAGTGTAATAAGTGGTTCCATAAGATGTGCACCCGATTAAGCCCCACTGCATATAAAAGGTGTTCAAAGCCCAACTCTCATTGGCTTTGTAGTTTTTGTTGCTCGAGCAAAACATTGCTTATCAAGGAAACAATTAGTCTCCTGGTGTTGGCTAATAAGAAGGTTGATGAGGGCTGTACTGATAACATTGGTACGGATGGCGAAGATTGCGTTAGTGTCGTAAGTGCTATCATGGCGCAAGCCAGACATCTACCTGTGCAACCCACAGTTAAACGTTCTCCCCCGAAACGATCAGTGAGTGACACGTCATTAGATGTTGGTAGCCATATTGCTACAGTAGCAACCGGTGACCCAGATAAAACAATTACTGTCCCGAGTTGTTCTAATGTAGACGTTTCGACTGATGGAAAATGGATGACGCGAAAACGCAGAAGAGTATGAAAGATAGCTAAAACTAATGACTGTTTACTTGGTAAGTCCTTGGTGGACTCTCAGACCAATCCGCCAAAGTCTCATAGTAAAGCTTCGTCTGACATTGTTGTGAGTCATTCGCTTGACTCCCAGGACTCTGTTAAAATAAAAACTAATCGTAAGCTACCAGTAGTTAAAATACAGGATCTAACGTCACGGTCGAAAGCTGTGAACACAGTTTCAAAAGAAGCTAAACCCATCCTTAGTTTAATTATTTGGAATCTAGAGGAGTCGAAAGACAACGACCCTGCTAAAAGACACGCACATGACCTACAGTTAGTGGAGTCTGTGGTCAGGAATGTACTACCTGAAGAGGTTTCAGGGGTACATATTACAAAAGTAATACGACTTGGTAAATGGGTTGGAGGCGAGACCCAACCAAGAAGGATCCTGAAGCTGGTTTTCGGGAGTTTCGAAGAAAGAGGCATATTATTGAAAAGCGCACAAAAAACTCGTGCCTCAAATATCCGTATTCGAACAGATTGGCCGCTTGAGGATCGAATCAAGTGGAAGAATGCTCTTACGGAGTTGAGGACTCGCAAATTAAATGGCGAAAATAACCTTACCATTAAGGGTTTTCGGGTAGTCAGGTCTTAGAAGCCAATGCTTCCGAGGCCTGTATGGGTAGAACGATTGATTTCCAAAACACCTTAAGTGTGTGCTACACGAACGCTCGTAGTCTTAGAAATAAAACGTCCGAGCTAAGTCTGATGGTGCAAGAATTATATCCCGATATAATCGTTGTTACAGAAACTTGGTTCACCGTTGATATAGACTGTTCTCCTTTCATCGCTGGTTATATCTGTATCAGAAGTGATAGAGTTTCAAGTCGCAAGGGGGGAGGTATAATATTTTACGTTAGGGATCACTTTCTTATACAATCAACCATATCGGGGGCTCATATCAGTGGCACATGTGAGGTTGCATGTTGTAAGATTAAATCTAGAAATGGGTTAGTGACTATAGGGGGAATATACCGTAGTCCGTCTTGTCTGGCTGACGACTTTATCCTAAGACACATCTGTTCTTGGAGTATGGCAGAATGTTGTCTCATCATTGGGGACTTCAACGCACCGCATATCAACTGGATAGAGCTTACAGCTCCAGGTAGCGGTTTCGATAGCGACCTTTTATCTACCGTTATTCAGTGTGCACTTGTACAATGTATCAGAAAACCGACACATATTGATTTGCATCACGTTCCGTCACTGCTGAACCTCGCCCTCACCCACCACTGTGAGGATGTCTTTGATATCCAGCACCTTCCTCCACTAGTGAACAGTGATCACGTTGTAATTCACTTCAAGTTTAGGACACATGGTATGTAGAATCCAAACTACGGTTTGGATGTTGAAGAATAGCCGACCGTGGATTTTAGATACGCGCCCTTTCCCGTCGAAATCAGAACAAGTAATCGGGTAACTAGCGGTTCTATAATTCATAATAAATTTAATATAAATCATTACCTAAACAAATATTATCACCCGGCTATTCAACCAATGATTGTTCAATCAATTAAATCTAAATTACAATAATAAAGAAGTTGATAGAAGATGAGGAAAAATTACCAATCACAACAAATCAACGTTATTCTATCCTGGCTGGATAGATCACACACAACAGGAGGAACAAATCAATATGGCTACCGCCAAGAACAAGTGTCAAGTAAAACAACACAGATGCAGTTCAGGAAAAAACACAAACTTAGTGAATGCGTAAGAAAAACAAAAACTATAATAAAAAATACAAGTATTAACAACTCAAATGTAATCAAAATACAACAATGTACAACTAAGGGAATCAATAGGAACAAAGTACAAGTATATACATGGAGTGATTTTCACCAACACATAAAACCTTCAAAATGGATCTTACATGGTATACAATTCGTATCTGCTCCACCCCGTCCCAATATCTGGCGAGCTAATATTCCGGAAATCAGAAACCGTGCTATCTCGACCGATTGGTCGGTCGAAGCGGATGGATTGATCGAAGATGAATGGAATAAGTTTAAGGCTACATTCGAGTCCGTAACGTCGCCGTTTATCCCATGGTCAGTACGTAAGCTATCACATTGCCCTCCATGGATTAATAAGGAAACCCGGAAGCTGTTAAAGCGTAGGAAACATTTCTGGGACTTATTCTTGTTGACAGGTCATGCAACATTTAAGCGTGAGTATCAAAAATACCGTAATATCTGTAAGAAAACCATAGCGAAATCCCGTATCACTTACGAACGACAGTTAGTATATGATAGCCGTACTTGTCCGAAACGATTGTTTTCGTATGTTAAACGGCAAATGAAACGTAGTGATGGTATTCCCCCGTTGCTGTTACACGAAAATTCAGAATTACTAGCTGAATCAGATCGAGCAAAAGCTGAGACTTTTTCAGATTATTTTAGCGAAGTCTTCTCTACGTTTATTGTAACAAATACTTGTCCCACTCACACCGAGATACCAACCATTGAATCCGTACAGGTGACTGAGGAAACTGTCCTTCCGTTGATAACTAACCTCAAACCTGGTAAGATACCGGGCCCTGATGGGTTACATCCACGGTTGCTGTCATCTCTTGCGGACATTATTTCGAAACCGCTTGCGACACTCTTCAACATGTCCCTCTCACTCGCCCAACTCCCTAGAGATTGGAAGGACGCTATAGTTAGTCCTATATTTAAGGACGGTCAGCGACAGATAGTATCTAACTACCGGCCTGTCAGTCTAACTAGCATAGTCGTTAAGTTACTCGAAAAGATAATTCGGGTTAGGTTGCTAAGCCACATAGATTTACACAATCTGTTAGCTCCTGAGCAACACGGATTTCGTAACAAGCGTTCATGCTTGACTAACTTGCTTATTGCGAGGGAGGATTGGACAGCAGCCCTAGATCACGGTCTGTCTGTCGACGTGATATTCATAGATTTTAGCAAAGCGTTTGACAAGGTTTCAAACGTAGGTCTTATGCAGAAGCTCACGAGCTTCGGAATAATAGGTACTGTACATGAGTGGATAGGAAATTTCTTATGTGACCGCAGACAGAGAGTTAGGGTCAATGGAACGCTATCCGATTGGAAGCCGGTCAAAAGTGGTGTACCCCAAGGCACCATCTTAGGCCCTCTGCTCTTCCTTCTCTACGTTAATGAGTTACCACTGTTACTTAGGTCGTCGACATTATTGTTTGCAGATGATGTAAAAATCTGGAGAACAATAAAAAGTGCGGCTGATCATGTGGATCTTCAAGCTGATTTAGACGATTTAGTTAGATGGGCTCGAGAGTGGGGCTTAGAAATTAATGCTAGGAAGAGTGTACTAATGCACGTCGGTCACGGTAATAGTTACCGTTACACTATTGAGGGTAAACCTCTTCCATGCGTTCAAGAGCATAAGGACTTAGGAGTAATATTAAGTCATGACTTAAAACAACTGCGCATTGCAAAGCAGCCGCTGTCAAAGGTTTTCGTGCGTTATGGTCACTTCGCCGAGCGTTCAAATCTTTTGACGAGGAAACGTTTCGAATTTTGTACCCCATATATGTTAGACCACATTTAGAGTACTGTATCCAAGCAGCTAGCCCGTGTCTAGTAAAGGATACTAACTCCCTTGAGCGTGTCCAGCGTGTGGGAACGAAATTAGTGAAGGGTCTTTCTAGTCTCCCTTACGATGAGCGCTTAAAACGCCTAAATCTTTTCCCCTTGTCGTATAGTAGGACACGAGGTGACCTTATACTGGCATTTCGTATCTTTAATTATGATTTGGGTGTTAATATGTCTTATCTTTTTGCTCCCTCCAGCACTAATAATCTCCGAGGTCACAGCAAGAAGGTTCATAAACCACGATCTAATAAACTTAAAGTGGGATCCCGTTTTTCTCATCGAGTAGTCAATCA